CGGGGGGCGACCCCCCGGCAGCGCCCGCCCCCCACCGGGGAGCAGCGAACCCCCCCCCAGAGCTCCGCCGTCGCGGCATTTCCACGCCGGGAAGGCGTGGATTTAAAAAACTACCTGGTTTGGGGCACCAAGCTGGGCGAGATGCGTGGGTCAGCAGCGAGGGGATGGAGGGCACCCTAAGTCACCCGCAGGAGACCGGGGGGGACCCTTTTCACCCGTGACTGGGGCACGGGGAGCCCACGCAGGGCTGCTGGGGCAGCTCCGGCCTGGCTGGCAGGGGGCTTTGCTCTGCACATGGCTCAGGGGGTGGCAGCAGCGGTCCGATGCGGAGGCAAGGAGGGGGCAGCACAGCTGAAGAAATGTCCACCATGACCTTTAAAAACCAGCTCTCGCTCAGCAAGGCAGGTGAGCAAATCCGTGCCCTGAGCGGAAAGTAGGGACAGGAGTCACAGAGTAGGAGAGACAGATTTATTATGTTTCTGGGAGCAGCGCCTTTACATTTTGCTTGGGATAAGGTCACCTCCCTGCAGCCAGAGCAGAGAGATGGGGCAGGATGTTTATTCAAAGCGACGGGAACAAGAAGCTGTAGCCAAGACCCCAGGGTCTGCTGACAGCACGAGGCTCCACATGTCACTGCAGCAGCAGCAGACAGGAGGCCGGCATCTGCCAGAGCCACTTGCAAAACATCTTTGCAGCGACATACTCGAGGGCCAGGGCATGTTGCACGAGTAAGCGCAGTCTCCCTGCTCTCGCCAGGAAAGGGAGGGCACAAAACAAGAATAAATACAGCTTTCAAAGACTCCCCCCAACTCCGCACCCGCTGCCATGTGGCCTGGCGAAGGCATTTACAGGAGGAAATCTGTCAGCCAGAATCCAACAAACAAGTAGACATGTCCGGGAGGGGGTTAAGGCCGGCTCGTTCGCATCCTGATCTCCTCAACCAGGCTCTCCCTGCGAACGTTGACCTACACAGGGGGAGCACAAAGTTGCTTTAATACAACACAAGCAGCTTGACATATTGTGACCCTCTCTGGTCCCAGAGGGATGGCCTGCACTGCCATTCGTGGCCCTGTGTCTCAAGAGATCACACCATGGTGCTGTCACCAGTCCTCCATGGGGATTGAGTGGGCTGCAACACATGCAGAGCTGAACCTGTGAGAGCAAGCACCTGCCTGCAAGCCTGCCAAGCCCTCTCCTAGCCAACTATCATGAGAGCAATGCTCTTCCCACTCTTTCCTACCAGTTCCAAAGCCAAGACCAGTGCACAGATCAGCACTGGTCCCCCTTATTCCAAGAGGGCACCTGCAGGACCTTCAGCAATGGTCCTGCGCCCTGGATGGAAAGTGCAAGCAGTCATACAGCCCACTGAATCACCCCTCCATGTTCCAAGCTCCTGAACTGAGGAATAACTGGGAGTTCAAGGAGGCCACATGATGGGAAACTATCCAGAGCTGGAGACAACAGTGCTCCACGGCTCCAGGAAACAGCATGGGATGAGGAACTGGAATGTGAGGTGCCCCTGGAGAGACCACTGCTTGAAAAGATCTAATGAGGAAGCCAACATATAAAATCCTGATAACCTGTTATAGGGGTGTTGGTGGCAAAGTGACACCAGGGCACGTGCTCCACAGCAAGTCAAGAGGGGCTGAGGAAAGTCACTGCACCCAGTCTCCAAAAGTGCACCTGCAAGGCCACTACCATCTGTCCACAGGCCTCACCTCGAATCTGCCAGCCCTGGCTCGTGCTCCTCTGCCTACTGCATGTGGAGAGCCTTCCCCTCACCGCACCTTCTACATAAGCAGCTTTGTTAAGCATTGGAGGCTTTTCACCTCAGGTGGAAGTGCCTTACTCCTCTGATCACCCCTCTGGGCACTATACTCTATGCGGGCCAGCGAAGCCACCTTGCTGCGTACAACCCAACAGCACCACTTCAGAGCAGGGTACGGACAGGTCTGGAGGGCTGGCCTGAGCTGAGATGAAGGGTCAAGTAGCCAATGCCCCTCACACCAAGCTACCACAGGCCTCACCTCCTCCCTGGTGGCCACGACTCGCAGCTTGACGACTCCATCCTTGAGCTCCTGCTCACCCACAATGGCAACAAGAGGGATGCCCGTGTCCTCGCAGTACTGCAGCTGATTCAGCAGCTTGGGGTTCTTCTTGTACAGCACTTCTGCCTGGAAGAGAACCAGAGCACACCACCATGATCAGCACGGGCCTATTTCTCTGCACCCCCTCAACCAGGCATTGCTGGGCCAGTCTGCTAATTGCCATCTGGTGAGCATGGGGGTGTGTGGAGGGGAAGATGGGCTACTGGAGAAGGCTGGGCATTACAGCTAAGGAATAATGCAACACAGCTCACAGGTACCCACAAGACACTGCTTATCCTGGGAGAGCACCAGGTCATTAGCTCTAGTCTGTGTCAGACCAGGGCTGACACCTGTGGTGTCCCTAGAGGGTCAGAAGCCTGGCAGAGCACCCAGGCATTCTCATTCTCCTCCACTCAGCCATCAAGGGAGTCTACCCACAGCAGGCAGGGAACAGGGCTCTGCCACACAGCTTGCCTTTGGCCCGCTGAAAACAGCCCAGGCTGCTCCCTGGCCCCACTCTCCCCTCCTTGCAAGGCTCCGCAGTTTCTTTGCGGCATTGGAAGCAGCACGGTATCCCAGCTGCCATGCAGCAGGGGCTGGTGTGTTGCCTGCTCTGAGAATCTGTCCTGAGGTAACAAACACAGAGCAGCCCCTGCAGTGCTACAGGGCTACCCAGCTCATGCTGCCCAGCCATTCCTGGAGAACACCTGATTTGGGACACCGAGAAGAGGCAGACTTCATTCAGGAAGGTAGTCTACTGCTCACCTTCTCCCTGTCACTCCTTCCTCCCAAAGCAAAGCCAGATCTGGTCCATTCCTGGCACAGAGAGTGGACCAGGCAGCTCCTGACTTTGCCATCACCTGGTCATACCTTGATTCCAGCATTCCACAGCTCGGAGATGAGCTTCAGCCGCTCTTCAAGGAGCTTCTTTTGGGCGGAGGCTACCAGCACCTGCGTCTCTGTTGTCCTGATCTTTTCCTCAGAGGCCTACAGAGGGGACAAAACTCAAAAGATGCCATGGACAAAGATATCTGAGACCCTAAGAGCAGGATGGGTCACCACCCCAGGCCCATCTATTCAGCAGTGAAGAGGATCAGGCTCAGTGGGATGAACAGCATAAAGTCAGGAGAGTCAGGGAGGTCCCACAGACCCCATCCTGGAGCAGTATCTCATCTTCTGCAGTTGTTCCGTGATGGGGGCTTAACACAACCTCTCTCCTGCGCTGCAGGTGCGCACAGACTGGAGGATGTGCTGAGAATGAGCAATTTCCCTGCCAGCTTCTGCCTAGAGACTGTTCCTCCACACCCAAGGGCCTCCTAGAGATCTGCTCCAAGCAGCTCAGGAGCAGCAAGCCCAGCAGAAGCTGGACAGAGGCAGCTGCTTGCTCTACAGCTGAGCTGGTAACTATGGGTTAGATTAACAGCAGCAAGCTGAGATGCTCCAGTGCTGTCAGGAGACACCTGCTCCTGTGGCAGATGCTGGATACTCAAAGTGGCATTTTCCTGCTGCTGCTTTTGCTGAAGGGAGAAGCCTTTAAAAGGTCACCTGCAGAGGAACAAATCTGGCCAGGACTGGAAGTGGTGGGGGAAGAATTCAATTTCCACTTAGAAATCCCAGTTGTGTCTGGCTGCCAAGAGAGAACTCCCCACAACAGGCCTCTGGGGCAGGGAAATGTGTGGCAGTGTTTTGGGAGCCTACAAAGACCTATTTAACACCCGCTGATTGGGATGGAGGACAATACATTGGTACAGCAACTCTGAGGAGAGGGCGAATGGGAAAAAGGTATCTGGGAAACCCCCAGAGGCACTGCACTTCCTGCCCTGGGACATCCGACTGCTATCTGGTCTCTGTAGTGCCTTGGGCAGGACAAGTAGGCGTCCAAGGCTGTTGTCTCCCTGCCAGCCTTGCAGAGTAGTGCTGCCTTGCCAAGGAGGACGTGGAGTTACACTGATGCCTAACACAGTGGGGAACACTACGGCACCTAACCTGCGTACCTGGTACTACTGAGGATTAAAGTGCCCCCTCCAGCTGCAGCTGAACAAGCCATGTCTGAGGGCCACTGGAAGAGGAGTCTTGTCTCCAGTGGGAGCCCCAAAGATCATCCCCAAGACAGAGAAAATTGGAGATTATGTCCTGGTTCTGACTCCTGCTGCAGAGCACAGCAGAGGCCTGGCTGGCTTCTCCATCAGACTGCAGCAAGGGAGACTCACTTCAGCATCTGCTGGACTGGGGGTATGCGGGGAAGATGTAAATCCTTACTATTTCTCCATGCTTAGTTGAGCACCAAAGGCACCTACCTCCACTCTCTGCTCTAGGATGGAGAAGATCCGCTCGATCCCAATGCTGACCCCCACGCAGGGCACCTTCCGTCCCTTGGGATCAAACATCCCCACCAGCCCGTCATAGCGACCGCCTCCAGCCACGCTCCCAACACTGACTGGCTCCTCCACATGGTCATTCTCCGGCTGCAGCAGGACAGCCTCAAAGATCACCCCCGTGTAATAGTCCAGACCCCGTGCCAGGCTCAGGTCGAAAGAGATCTGTAGGACGCAAGGGAAGGCCCGTCACTGGGTGCACTTGGCAGCCCAGGCTGCCCGGGAACGAGGGTAGCACCTGCTCCTGCCTCTGCACCTCCTCACCTTCCCTGTGATGCCAAACAGGGTCAGGTACTCAAACAGCAGCTTCATGTCCCCCAGCCCCTCCTTGGCCAGCTTGTTCTGGGACAGCTTTGGGTCCTGGAGAAGCTGTTCGATCAGGTCCAGGCCACCTGTGGGAACGAGACATTCCTCACGTCTGCCAGCGCAGCAGTACCAGCAACGATGGGCCCAGCCAGCCACGTACATGCCTTGCACCCCTCCATTGCTGGCCCTCCCTGCCTGGCCTGGAAGAACAAGAACAAGGGCTCGACCCCACAGTGCTCACCGTGAAGCTGGACATATTCCCCGATGTGATCTGCAGCCTCAGGAGAGAGCCCCTTCTCTCCTACCATCTCACTCCTCACTTCTTCCCATGGCATCTGCAAGGGGAGAGAAGAACATCAGCCACTGCTCCAGGGATGTGGTCTCTCCTGGGGAAGGTCTCTGGTGGTCCTGCCCAATACAAAAGAACAGACATATCTGCCCTCAACAGATCTTTACACTGCACAACCCCATCAGTGTCAGCGTGGTTAAGAGGTGCATGAGAGAAGCAGCAGATTAGATGCTCTCAAGAGCATGGTCATACAGTCTTAACTCCATTTCTTGTACCTCTGCACAGTCTGTTAGTATCCCAACCCTACATTCAGCAAAGCTGCCCCAAAACTTGAAGCCCCAGGACAAATACTTTGGGTTTGATTTCTGGCCAGAATCAAATATTGGTACTGTAAAAGCACCGAGTCTGAGAGATGTCTTGCTGCTCTGGTTTCCCTGGTTACGTACTTAGTCATAAACACCAGTCAAGAAAGCATTGCTGGTCATGCCTACCACCCAGAAAGTTGTGAAGAGATGGCTGGGTGATGCAAAAACCCAATGTAAGCAGAATACGCTACAGTTTCCTACTAACCGAGGTGTCAAAGAGAACCAGAGTCTTGATCATGTCCAGCTGCACTGAGATAAATCACAGCATTTCAGTACAAAACCAAGGAAATTATCCCATTCTAAAAAAGCCCTATCCTCCCTTCCTATTGCTTTTCCGTGCATACACAGCCCCAAAACCTAGACTTTGGTCATGCCTTTGCAATAGATCTCACTGCTAACAACAGGACTTTAAGTGAGCCTTCCTCTAGTTGACTTCATTCAACCATCAGACGAGGCCTCCAAAGGAAAACATGGCTCATCCTTGAAGAAAGCAACGTGAACACACAAGATGAGATACAAGGCTGCTTTGTTTAACTGGGTTTCACAGGAAGATTAGGAGCACTCCTTTAAGCAGTCAGCCCACAATGTCCTCCACATGACTCTGAGCACACACAGAAATTCACCTCCATATTCTACTTCAGATCCTGAGCCCAAAAAACCAAGTTTTTAGATTGCACTTTATTTTAAGGTTCCTCTTCCTTCACTATTAGTGGTGGACTGTATACACATTACAGACTGATCTCCAGCATCTTTATATCTGACTAGGGCCTACAGTCAAGACAATCAGCTGCAAATAAAAAGTTGTACCTACACTGGCACCTTTCTCTCCTCCCAAAGCTCCACATAAAGGCCTGAATCCCTTAGAGACCTTCACAACAGCCAGCGCTCCTGAGGCAGTTTGCTGAGCACAAACCTACGGGTACCTCCTGCCTTGTGTCTTACAGGAGCAGCTGCACACACAGGGGGTTGTTCTGTGTCACACCAAGCCTGAGTAAGCCATACAAACAGCAATGTCTACATACGGGATGTTCTATAAAAGTACCTGTGCTACATGCCCAAATCAGCAGAGGTGTGATGAAGTGGCCAGGAGATGTGGGATGGGCTACCACCATCTCACAGCACCGGGAAGAGAGATTACAGCACTGAGCAGCATGTTGTTCCTGTGACTGTGTCCTTCCTGCGAGAATGCTGCACAGTCTAGGCCAGCCCCAAGGAGCCCTGTTCCTAGCAAAACATGCTGGCACTGATGGACAGCCACAGATGAGTGTGAAGACATGCTGTGGGGGCACACAGTGCAGTACAACACCAGATAGACCAGCCTTCCCCTGCCTAGGGGGCAGGAGTGTGCTGCTGGGTTATTTTTCAGGTCTGCATTTCTGATCTCTTACTCCTTCTCACTCCAAATCCTTCTCTCTACTTCCAGGCAAAATATAGAAACCTCATGCTCACCTTACAACTGAGGTCTGAAATTTTCATAAAGTTTGGACCAGATGATCTTTTGAGATCCCTTCCAGTCTGGGCTGTTCTATGATTCCAGGACACAAGTGTGATTCCTCACACCACCCAACAGAACCTGATGCATTTGAAAAGGCTTTTCAATGCCCTGACCCAGTCTGGGGGCAGGTTTTCATGATCCTGGTTCATAAGCAGCAGCACCTTAGGAAGGCTAAGGTTTGGGATGTTGAATCTCCCATGTGAATAGCATTCTTCCCTCCCTCCTTTCTGTTTGTCAGGACCTCGTGGGATACTGGAGAAGCACAGGATCCATTTTTCCTATGTGACTGCTGTGCCCTGTACGCCTCCCCTCCAGAGAAAGGGGGGAACCACTCAATGTTTATCAGCATTTTCCAGCCAGTTCTTATGGACCATGGTAAGAGCAGCCCAGAGGGACAGAGACTCACAGAAACTCCAGCAGCAGCAGTTGCAGCCCAGGGCTCCAGCCCATACCTTATCCAGTTTGTCAACACTGGAGCAGATCGTTCGGAACTTGCTGTCTGGGACACCGCAAACTGCGAACATCCCATCAAGGATGCGCCGATCGTTGACCTGGGGGAGAGGGAGAAAGTCATTAACTATGAACTCAAACAGATGCTTCAGCTGTGTCCAGTTTGTCTCCTTTCTGGTTTTTTAAGCATGGAAGAGAAAGTTGCAGATGTCTGCCAAGATTTTTTTGCTGTTTGCAGTTTCTGTCTCTTTCCCATTCCTAGGGAGCTAAGCTGCCTTTCTGCCCACAGCAGGCTAACTAGCAGAACTGACTCCTACCAAGCCTGGGTAGAGCTATCACATTCTCCTTCTAGACCCACAGACACCTCCACTCAACAGAGAAGAAAAACCAATGGGGTCTATGAGTCCTCTCGTGTGGACACATAAAAACAGCTCAGAAACAGACCACAGACTAAGGAGATGAATTCACTGTGCTACCCTGATCTCTCAGCGTAAGAACAAAGGGACATCTGATTATGTTAAAACCTCACTAAGGATTTTTTTTTGATAGTATAGTGAATTCCATAGTTTAATTATGGTCTGTAATAGTAGGTAATTGAGGCCAGAGGCTCAGCTGGATTCAACATTTCCATGGGTAGTGAGAACATCTACAATTAAATTAGATAGAAACAAAGACTGCTCAGGAGTTTGTAATCCTCCAGCATCAACATGAACCAGACAGTAGCTCATGGAAGACAAGAATAACCACAGGCAGGTTATTCTGCTGTCCCCCATTGCAGGGGTGCCTTCTCATCTTCAAAGGCATCCGCTTTCACTACTGCCCAAACACAAGAGTAGTTGGACAGGCAGTTCCTGCGCACAGCTCTTCAGCTCATATCAGACAGGTTCAAGGGCAGGTAACTGCTTCCCTACCCAATGGGGGCTGCACATAGGAGTGCAACACCCAGCCCGCACTGCTCACCTCCTCTGCAGAGCCCAGCAATGACCCAGATCTGGGTCCCTTTCAGAAATCCCACTACCCTCCTGCACATCAGGCACTCATACCCATGGCTCTCCTACTGCTGTACACTCTTCCCCATTCTGCCTGACCTGCACACCTAGCACCATTTGCTACCACACCAAGATAACATAGGTCTTTTGAAGCAAATAGCAAGCTCAACCTACAGCAGGGCGTGACACTTTTTCTCAAAAGAAAGGCCTCAGCCGCAGGAAGGACTTGGTGGGAAGGCAGGAGTCTGCAAACAACACAGCGCACACACTAAGCAGATGTCCCTACTAAGGGGGCATCGGGAGCTGGGACAAGGGCATGGATCCTGGGCCAGAGCCTGTGTTTTACTGCAGGCAGTGAATGAAAGTCACCTGGTTAGTTGGCTGCTGGACGTTTTGCAGAGGACTGTAGTTAGTGCTAGAGAGAACTCTGCTAACTGCAGCCTCAGGAAACCTCCTTGTACTCCCAGCTAAAGGCAAGTCTGAGCTGAGGTCCAGTCTTTTAGCATATATACCACGAGGAGGCAGAGAGGCAGGATGAACTTCTGGATCAGGCCTTAGCGGGTGTTAGAGTGGGAACAGGCGCTGCTGCGTAAAAACGCAGGAACAATGACCACTGCTTCCCACCGTGGCACAGAGAAACCCACCCGGACTCACCTTAATGAGAAAGTCCCCGAGCTGCAGGTCACTCAGGATCTCATGCACGATCTTCAGGCACTCAGCATCGGGAATCATCGGGTCAAACTGGCCAGCGATGTCAAAATCCTGGGGCACAGGAAAAGGCAGTGAGCAATTCAGCACCACTGGCGTGGCTGCAGCAAAACAGCTTCAACTCTGCTTTTAACAGCAGTTTGCTTACAAAAAGCAACAGAAATGGGATGTAAGGGAACACTAGCCCTCGTGATTAGGATCCAGAAGGGACAGGATGTGGGTTATGACCCTCCTTCATCAAAGGCAGCAGTGCTTTTGTGTCCACTGCATTGCAAAGTGTTTGTATACTATGCTGTGGCCAGTGCAGACAGTCTGCAATAAGCCATTCTGCTTCTCCGTGCTTTCTGCTTCTGGAGTTGCATGACCTGCTCCCTGCCTCTGACAGATCAGATTACTGTGTGATACACTTTGAAACAGAGATCCTTGAAAAACAACAAAAAGGAGACAGCAGAGTGATCATCAGCTGTAAATAAATAGAACAAAGGAACCAGGAAGGGGAAGAAAAAACTACTTATTACGTGGTATGACCTAAATGCCAGATGTTTCGCCTTGATTGTTAGGATGTTCTTTTTTTAATACATATGCCAATCAAGTTAAGGATCAGGGAAGAAGACAAGAGAAGCGATCTCAACAGAGGCAAAAGCAAAGTTTCAGCTGCCAAGACAGAAAAAGAAATCAGAATGTCTGAGTGGTGTCCACCAGAGATTACCAGATGAACTAGCATGTAGAACTAAAGCCCAGCAGCAAGGTGTTTTAATAGGCTGGTACACCATGACTGGAAAATAGCAAAGACAACATCAACGTTCAGAGAGAAATAAAACACAGAAGCAACAAGAGACTTCTTATTCGGCTCCCATTTATGAATCCCCAAATGCAAAGTATACAATGAGATTTTGAGTACAAGAATAATTTTAATTACGTGGGTAAATTTCAACATGGCTTTACCAAACTTCCAAAATAAATGGGGGCAATGGAGGAGGAAAGAGATGAGATCACATCAGTTAATCCCTGATCAGCTGAGTGCAAGAAAGGCTGATGCAATCCCCGTGGAAGTTGGGCAAGGTCTGGTACAGTCAGAAAACACCGCTACCACTGTATGTGGCACAGGTGAAATCTCACTGAAAAAAAACCCAACCAAGGGCTGGTGAATTACATTTAAGAAAAGATGCAGAAAAAGCCACCAGGCTGAGCAAAGCATCTCCAGGGAGAGAAGGTAACAGAGCTTGATTTATGTGGCCTAAGGAGAGGAAGATTTCTCTAAACACTTCCCAAATGTTTATCTGGGAAAGGGGAAGAATCCATATCAAGGGATAACAGTTACCATTAAAAGAGCTGCACTAGTACAAGGAGAAGTAAACTATCAGACACAAGGAACTTTAGCCTGGATATTAGAAGACTATTTCTAGCTATCCTAGGAGTGAGATCTTGGAACAGTCTTTCAGACGAGACAGCAGGTAAAGACCCCAAGTTGTCTGGAAATGGGAATTCACCAAGCTGGAGCTAGAAGGTATCCACAGGGGTTGTATGATGAAATAGGAGTATTCTCAAACAGGAATTTGTTTGCAGTGAGGCCCTGGGGACTGTGTTAGTACAGCAGAACAAAACTATTCCTTGGGGCTACCACACTCATCTGAGAAAGCCACAAAGGAAATTGCTTTCTTACCTGTTCTGTAATTTGGCCTCTGGGTTTTTTCCCTTCCTTTGAAATAAAGACTAACTAAGCACAGGGACAGAAGTAACATATGCTACAGCCGAGTCACTCACTCGCCTGGTTCATGTGTCCTGCTAACACACCCAGGAGTTCAACTGTTGCCAGATTTGGGATCAGAAGGAAGTTCTTCCGCTCCACTGGGCAGCAAGCACTGTGGGATGGAGCAAGAAGCTGTCCTCCTCCACAGTGCAAAGCAGGCCAGATAGCTGGGGCACCTGGGGGATGTATTACAAAGTTCCCTGATACACCAGCACCCTGTGTCATAGCCATCATCCGCACTCTCAAGCTCTTTTTCACACCGATAAGAGCATGCTAAGGATAAGATTAGTGGATCCTCCTGAGCTTTCCACAGCCGCACAGGGTAACACAGCCTTTAGTCCTACGTTTTTATGGTGCTACATCCCCACAAGCGCTGCCCAGCCTACAGCGTCACTCAGCAGCATCCCTGTCAATAGCCAAACTCACACACTGGTAGAACTCCCTGTAGCGGCCCCTGGTCATGGCTGGGTTGTCCCGCCTGTAGACCTTAGCAATGTGGTAGCGCTTAATGTTGGTGATCTTGTTCATCGCCAAATAGCGAGCAAAGGGCACCTGAGACAGTAGGGTTAAGGATTGGAACGGGGAGGGATCACCCCACCCAGTTATCAGTCACAGGCAGTGCTGGGTCCTCACTATCTCCCCAACACCCAGCACGCTGTGGCGCACACCCGTGGGGCAAAGCAACTGCTAAGAGATGGCTGGACTTGCCACAGCTCCCCAAGGTCTCCACAACTGTCCAAGACATGGCCTACACATGCTGCCATTAAGCGTCCCTGCAGGCATCTTCCAGCAACACCTTAGGTTGGATCTCAGTCTCATACAGGCTGTGTACTGCAGCAGCCTAGTCCGAGTACCCTGCTGTAGGGGAAACCCTACTCAATACAGATCTTCCTTACCTCCACGTACAAGAGTTACTTTGCCAAACAGAAGCAATATACAGTAAAAAACTAAGCAAGGGTTCTGAACTACAGTGTCTGCTCACACTCTCCCTGTCAGTACAGGATCAGAGCCAAAAGACTGTCTGCCCCCCTGCTCCCTTGCCCTCTGGACAGCACTGGCCCAAAAGGAGGGCTGCAAAGGTGACAAGACCCCTCAGCACTGGCTGTGGCAGGATACTGTCAGGTCGTAGCGCAGGGACAGCAGCTCTCCTCCTTGATCCTTCAGATCGTAGATAAGCTTTGAGTCTTCACCGTATTTCCCTGTCAGCGTCTCCTACAACAAAAGGACACACGAACAAACAGCATCTTCAGTGACAGGGGATCAGGCCTAGAGCACACAGAAAACAAGGAGATAAAGGGAGGACACCTAGGATATGGAAGAAGAAAACTCAGCCCTCAAGATATGGCATGCTTTCAACTGCAGGATCCTCATCAGCTCAGCCAACTTGCTGTGTCCTCACCCACCTTCAGCTCAAACACTGGAGTATCAATGACTTCTGCTCCGTGGCGCTTGAAGCAGGTGATGATCGCATTGAAGACTCTCTCACGAATGGCCATTTGCTTGGGGCTGTAGTCCCGTGTGCCCTGGGGTGAGATAAGGAAAAGAAGAGCAAAGGACACATTGGGTTAGAGGCATGCAGTGGAGACAGAAGTGAGAGGCAATGTGAAGAAGCTATCATAGTGCTAACAAAACCAGAGAGATCAGGTCCAGACACCAGATATTGGGAGAGGTGGTAAAAAGCAGCACCAAAAACCACTCAAACACATCAGCACACAGCTCAGACTTGATCTGCCATGGTCTGCAGAGCTATATCTAAGTCAGGAGTTTCACAATGCAGGAAACACAGGAGCTTAAACAGATCCAACAGTCACAGAGTTCAGTGCTTTCAAGCACAACAGTGCAGCTGGGATCTGTCCACAGCTCTGATTCAGATACATTAGCCAGACCCCGGCACAAGAAGCCACCCTGAGAGGTGGAATCAGGGGACAAGCATGCTTTGAAGCTGTGGAACAACCAGCAGCTCTACAATTTCCAAACACACATATGGAGGAAACATCTTTGAAAAGTGCAATACCTGTGAAGTGCCCATCTACTGTTCACTGGGATGTGCTCCCTTTTAATTTCTTCGCTGTTAAGAGTCATTGAATTATTTCCATGACCACCTTTAGTCTCTCAGCAACACATAAATCACTGTTAATTAACTAGACCTCCCACTTTCATTTTCTATGGACTGGCAGTTAGGCAGGAGGAAGCAGAGAGCAGGCACTTCGTAACACCCCACCTGCAGGTTGCACAGCAAAAAGCAGCTTTCAGCAGTACACTGACGTGGCTCAGACAGGCTGGAAATCCAAGCAGTGCTCCCCTGGCACTGAGAGCGCTGCAAAATCCTCTCTCCACATTTTTAAACAGTGAAATACCCTTCCACTTTCCAGGTCTCATAGCACAATTACATTTATCAAAACATATGATAAAGGAAATGGACAAGGGACACAGTTTTGATACATTTCCTAAGTCAGTGGCATTAGCATAACCTATTTGTGAGCAACATTCATAACCGTCTCCATGTCACAGCATGGAAGCACAGCTGGTCTCTGGTCAGCTACTAGTGATGAAACATTCAGGTTACAAAAAATTTCAGCATAAATTGCATTATGGACACTATTCTCAGGGGCCTGGAGACTGCAAAGCTACCCCTGAAGGAAGGGTCTTTCTGCAGGAGGACACAGAAATGTCAGCAGCTGGCCAGACTTGCTCAGTAAACAGGACTACCCACCCCCACAGACTAAGACAAGATCAAAAGCCACGAGATCTTTCTTGCTCCCCACACTTCAACATGTGCTGAACATTCCTGGCAAACACTGAGAGGCATCTGGGTTTCTTTGGCTGGCTTAAGCTTTGCAGTTCCCCCACAATGACCCTCACACCAGCAGAGCTTCACTTCACAGCACTCCGTGCTCACCCAGCCTACCAGCAGCTTCATCCACTCTGTCCAGGTTAACAGAGAACAGGACCAGCTTGAGGATCCTTGATCCGTGAGAGCCAATGTCTGCAGGTACTAGTGGGGTCAGTACTATAAGAGCTGAAGAGTCCCAACCCTAAACTCATTGGGGCAATGCAAGTCATGACCTTACTTCAAATAGTGCAATCCAAGCAGATATGAGACCTCTCATGCTGGGCAGCTACTATAAAACTTGACCAAAAGGGAATTTGAATTTAATTTCCTGACCACACCAGCTAGTGGCTGGCTTGTCACAGAAGCACCAGAAAGGCTTTAAGTTAGTAGGGTATTTGGGTCAGATGCTGTCAGGGACATTTTCACCCCTCTCTCCCCTGCTGCTAAAAGTGAAAAGGGAAACAGAAATGAGAAAAAAGACGGGCAAGTCTGTCCTGAGATTTTGCACACACAGGTGTGTGCTGCTGTGCATGCACATGGGATTAGGTCATGCATACAGAGAGGCATGCAAGTGCGCGTGCACCGGGGTAGTTACCTTCGGGGTCTTGAGAACAAACTTGTGTTTCCCCTCATCTCCCCCCAGCTGTGCCTTCATCTCCAGCAGTTTCGCCACCTCCTTCGCAATCTGGTGAGGGAACAAGGAAGGAGCTGGGAATAAGCCTACCTGCCAGGCCCAGCCCACAGGCCTTCCCCAATACCTTCAGCCTCAGCACTCCCAGTACACCCAGATTCCCCAACCACAGTACATCCACTATTCGCGGTCTCGCACAACAACCAGAGGAGCACTCCCTGCTCCTCTCCAGTACTCCCTACTTCTGCCACAAGCACCCCAATCTCAACACCCCCAACACCCCTACCATTCTCTGACTCCCACAGCCTCCATTACCCTCAACATCTGCCTCCCCAGTCCCCACACCGCCCGTCCTACCAGCCTCTGCACCACACCCAGGCCCAGCACCACCAGCTCCTGCTATGTGCATCCCAGCATCAGCAGTCTCCAGCATCCTCCTCCCAACCCTAGCACCTCTAAGCATCCTTCTCTCCAATCTAACACCGGTATCACCAGTTCCCACTCCCAGTCCCCCTTTCACCCTCCCCCCAGGCACCTCAGCCCCTCCACTCTCCAGCCCAGCCCAGTACTCCCATCCTCCCCAACACCTCTCTTCCCAGTGCCACCACCCCTAGCCCAGCAATACCTACACCAGTATTCCCAGTTCCCCCCAGCACCCTGCCCCTAAGCCCAGCAACCCCAATCACACCCCAGTCACCTCAGCAGCCCTCTCTCCAGCCCAGCACCAGTACCCCCAGTTCCCCCCTGAGCCCCTCTTCCCCATCCCAACACCCCCAGTGCCCCAGTCCCCTCTCCTCAGGCCAGATCCCCTTCTCCCAGTCACACCAGTCTCCCAGCACCCCGCTCCCAGTCATACTGGTCCTCCCCCAGCCCCCCATTCCCAGCAATACCCG